AGGGAAGGATTGAGAGCTTGGGATTAGCAGATGAAATCTATTTATACATAAAATGGATAAACAATGAGGTCCTACAGGATGACACAGAGGATTCTATTCAGCATCTTGCTGTAAATCATAATGGAAAAGGATACATTTGTCAAGGTGAATCAATCTGCTGCACAGAAGATATGAGCTACACTTCAATAATTTTTTTAATTTAAAAAAATTTTCAATTTATGTATCTGCAATGAAAGAGTATTTGGCAGTAAAAATGCACAAACTGAAACAACAAAGAGTACAGATCAATTTTGAAGCATGATATTAAGTAAATAAAAGGAAATTTAAGGACCCTGACTGTACTCTTACTCCATTACATCCATAATAATCAAGAGGAGACGAGATTTATTACCTAGGGAGCATAACTAATCTAAGCATCCCCACTCCTAGCAAATTGGTACAGAATCACAGCCCTTACTGAGGTTCTATCATGTCCATGAACAAATGCTGACCTGGGTGTGTGTCTGCCCTTGGAATCCTGAAACAGATGGATAATTTTTCCTGGTTTGGAACTGATTGTTGAGGACACGTCCCTCACTCAAGCATTCTGGAGCTTGGAAGTCTCTACTTTACACATTTTTATGTAGAAAGCAAGGTTGTCCACCTTTTCTGGCAAAACAATTCCACCGCCCCCCCCCCAAAAAAAAACCCACAATCATCTTGCACACATTTCTTTTGTGTACACGTGTGGTCCTTGGATTGGTAAGAAAGAAAGAGAGAGAGACAGAGAGAGTGTGTGTGTACAAAGTTTCCACTCATAGTCAGGAAATAATTTCAGGTAAAAAGAATAGTCAGGGGAAGACAAATATCCCATGATATCGCTCATTGGTGACATCTAAGAAAAATGAACTTATTTACAAGGGAGATTCACAGAGAATGAACTTGTGGTTACCAGGTGGGATGGTGCACGTGGAGAGGGATAGATTGGCATTTTGGCTTTGACATATACACACGGCTATACTTAAAATGGATGACCAACAAGGACCTACTGGATAGCACAGGGAACTCTCCTTAATATTCCGTAACTAGCTAAGTGGGAAAAGAATTTGAAAAGCAATAGACGCATGTCTGTGTATAACTGAATCACCTTGTTATATGCCTGACACTAACAGTTAGTTTCTTAATAACCTATACTCCACCTCAGAATTTTTACAAAATGTTCAAAGAGCCATAATATGCATCTCTCCTTCTCTAATGAAAATACAGAATCAAAAAGTCTCCATTAATGAGTCCTTCATTGGGAACCTACACTGAGCCTGAAATATTAAGTGGGCACCTGTGATGTCTCTTCTGCAAAGAGTTAAGGTTAATGACATTTATCATGAGATTGGGGAAACTATCCTTCATGATAAAACTGGATTTCTTCAGAAGGGCTATCTTTCTTATGAAGATCATCTTTTAAAGCATTTTTATTTTATCAGGGTAACATACCATCTCTTATGTAAAAGCATGAGAGGATTGCCGGAATTCCTGGACATTCTGGTTGAGTATATATATTAATTATAGTTGTTTTCTCTGCACTGAACCCCATGGTTTGTTTTATAGAGAATGAGTAACAAACTCTAACCAGGAAAATGAATTCCAGGTTACATGATGGAAAAAAAATTCTTTTAAATTCAGGAGCAGAGAGGCCTTAGAAATCTTTGCTGAAAATAAATCAGTGTGGCTTTTCTTTCCCCTGTGGTTACCATTAGACACTAAGCAGTTAGTAACCCTGCATATATATATATATATATATTTTTTTTTTTGGCTGGGCTTCATGGCTCCAAGAATCTCATCTTAGTTCCCCAACCAGTGATTGAACCTGGGCGTTCAGCAGTGAAATCAGGGAGTAGCCACTTGACCACCAGGGAATTCCCAGACCTGCACAACTGAAGTAGAACTCGTCATCAAGAGAAGGAAAGGAACTGAGTCAGTCTTTCTTCAAACAAGATATTCATAGAAACTAAGCCTCTCAGGTGCTAAAGAATCTGCCTGCAACGCAGGAGACCCGCGTTTGATTCGGGGGTTGTGAAAATCCCCTGGAGAAGGAAATGGCAACCCTCGCCAGTATTCTTGTGTGGGAAATCCCTTGGACAGAAAACACAGTGGGATACAATCCATGGGGTCACAAGAGTTGGACACCACTTTGCAACTAAACCACCACCACCAACATGGTATACACTGAATCACCGTTACTACTTCATGAGGCAGCAAGAACTGTTCAAATCCTCCTACATTTATAGTGTTCAGGGAAACAAAAAGTGATGCTTGGGTCACGAGGCCTGCTCAGTGACAAGGCTCAGGTCAGACCTCCATCCCTGGTGGGAGAGGAGGCTGCCCATCTTACCCTGTGACATGCACCAGGCTGACTGTATGAACAACACCGCCCACCTTCCGCATCCTGTGACTCAGTCAGCTTTGCTCAGTCCTGCCTCCTGCCTCACAGAAGCAGAGCCATGTGCCCCACACTCCTCAGCATCCTGAGTCTAGGTGAGTCTGGAAAGACCCGGCAGGAGAGGTTTATGGTGGAAATCGGGGGTATTCACACCATGACAAGCTTCCCTGGATGAGGGTGCAAGGAGCGTGGGGTCCATCGGGACGAGCCATCTCAGACGGGCCTTTCCTTCTAGGATTCTGCGTGAGTCCGAGGATCTGGGCAGCTGTGGGTGAGTCCTCCCCATCACTTATTTCTGTGTTGAGCAGAGCAGGCGGGGCTGAGGCAGATGACACTGGGGGGCACGGTGAGACCTCTGTCAGTACAGCGAGAGCCACATGCCCTGTGGATCCCAGGTCTTCTTTTGGCCTTGATACTCATCTTCACTCTCCCCAGAGGTTAGCCCAGCTCTGCACTCTGGACCTGAAGGGACATCGTGAAGTCTGGGAGGTGGGAGCTGGCCCCCCTAAGTGCGATTTCTATCATGAGAGGGAGCAAGGAGCTGCAGCCCACAGACTCCTCTCAGAGAAGGTGGCATCTCCTACCGGCCCTTTACAAGAGGATATGCAGGACCACCCGCTAGACCTGACCCCAGGGGAGGGGCTGGGCATCAGGCAGGGCCACCTGGACCTGGTCCCACATTTGATGGAGGATAGCTAACAAAGGAGCGATGTTCATGGTTTCCTTCCTGCTTTTCAGTCAAGTGGCATTTCTCTTCTTAGTTGTGTTACTCTAAGTCGCTCAGTCGTGTCTGACTCTTTCTGGCCCCATGGACTGTAGCTCAGCAGGCTCCTCTGTCCATGGGGTTCTCCAGGCAAGAATACTGGAGGAGGTTACCATTACCTTGTCCAGGAGATTTTGCCAACTCAGGGATTGAAGCCTTCTCTCCTGCATAACAGGAATATTCTGTATCATTTGAGCTACAACAAATCCAACATGGAAGCCCTTTCACTTCTTTTCCATGTATCAATTTTTCCGTGGTGGTTTCTTTTGCCTGCATCATGCAGCTTGCAGGATCTTAGTTCCCTGATCAGGGATCAGCCCGGGCCCTTGGTAGAGAAAGTGCTGAGTCCTTACCACTGGACCGCCAGGGGATCCCCAGTGTTTTGTGTTTTGAGAGAAAGTTTTTCAACGTTTTGCCAACCCAAGGAATGATTCTTCTGAATCATTTCTGAGAATCATATTCTTAGAACCTCCATGATGTCCTCTTGGGTTGATTGTGTCTCTGTCTGCACCCAAATGCAAGATGTCCTTGAGCATCAAGGTGATGCACTTTAGGAGAGGAGACTTGCAAGAATTGAAGGGGAAGGGCCCATGGGGGCAGGGTGGAAAGGAGACTGTTCCTATTTGCCTCTCAAAGCCTGTGCCTCCATCTCACCTAGGTGAATATGAGAAGCCCTCTTTGTCAGCCTTGCCAAGCCCCGTGGTTCCCTTAGGACAGACTGTGACTCTTCGGTGTCACTCCCGTTCTCCATTTCCAATATTCAGTCTGTTCAAAAGAGATGGGACCAGTTTGATCAAGCTCCAGGAACATCAACTCAACACCTTCACTCTTGGCCCAGTGACCAGAGAACATGCCGGGTCCTACACATGTTCTGGATTCTACTGGTCTCCCTCTGTGTGGTCCACACACAGTGGCCCCCTGCAGATTGTGGTCACAGGTAGGAGGGGTCCATCCCAACCTGGCATGGCCGAGCTTGCAGGCATTCGTATCCTAGGTCCACGTGCCAGTGCAGCCAAAGACGTCCTCAGGATTCCCAGCCAAAACCTAACCAGGGAAAGAGAACCCACTCTGAGAGTTTAAACTCAGGGTGTTCATAGAGGGATGGGGTGCCTGGCTCAGGAAGGAGGAGCCTCCCTGGGCATTAGTCGGACAGAATGTGGGCACTGCCTGCCAGGAGGGAGGATGGGCACAACCCTGATCCAGCACCTGCCACCCCGTAGGGAGCTGTAATCCCATATGAAGGAGTTGGGGTCCAGGGAGGAGACCCAGGAACATCTCCAGAGGCATGAGGTGGGGTCACAGATGGGAAATGTTCCCTTTATTCTCCACTTCCTTCCTGTTGATGCCAGTCATCACCCACATTACAGGAGACGTGTGTGAAGGGAGCCAGGGTATGAATGCTCAGAACCAACCCAGCCCTCAAATGCAAATTAGGGATGGGATGAAGCTGAGAGCATGGCAACCCACTCCAGTATTCTTGCCTGAAGAATCCCATGGAGAAAGGAGTCTGGCAGGCTACATTCCATGGGGTCCCACAGAGTCAGACACGAGTGAAGTGACTGAGCATGCATGCATGAACTGAGAGCAGATCCAATAGCTAAAGAGCTTAGAATAAACAGAGAGGAGGCTGGAGGTCTTGAGCAAAGAGAAACTGAAAAGCATGAGCAAGATCTGAGAACAAGGCTAGAGAGAATACCACAGAACACACAGGAAGGGTAATTGACTTTGCTGGTTCACAGGGACATTTTTCACATCTTCAGATGTCAGGGGAAGCACCGAGAATGGGTGATTCACTGAAGCTCACAACCTCTTTGCTCCTAGGTGTGTTCACAAAACCCTCCATCTCAGCCCACCCAGGCCCCATAGTACGGGCGGGAGGGAATGTGACCATCCGCTGTCACTCACCGCTGCTGCTGGACAAATTTATGCTGCACAAAATAGGCAACGACGGGCATTTCCAGGGACGTGGAGAGACGTTCACGGGCAGACATGCCCCAGCTGACTTCTCCATTGGCCCCATGACGTTGGCGAGTGCGGGTTCCTACCGATGCTATGGCTCTCTCAGCCGCTCCCCCTATGAGTGGTCAGCCCCAAGTGACCCCGTGGACATCGTCATCACAGGTGAGTGTGTCCAGACCAGTCCCCTCTGCTGTCTGTGTCACAGAAGGTCTGGTGTCCAGTCCAGCATCAGTTCCGGGAGAAAATGACAGGCGTGCAGAGACGCTCAGAAACTCGGGAGAGGGAACAAACCAGAGAAAGAGGAGGTGTGAACACAGAAGGGAAAGAGAACAGAGTACCTGCTATGCAGTAAAGAGAAGACACAGCCGGTGATAGAGTGAAGCAGCAAGAATGTGAAAGAACGAGCAATGGAGAAAGATGCACCAGAGCAGGGACCCGGGCAGTTCCCAGCTCAGGCAGCCAGCGCTGGTTGCTTAAGGGGCTGGTTTCCCGCCTTCATGTCAGAGCTCCCTTCCTCTGTCAGGAGCACTGTGGTACCAGATGCCCTTGCAGTCTGGCCCCTGGGTGGTCAGGACGGAGGTCAAAACCTTGAAGTGGCTCAGCCTTATGGTTTAACGCGTTCTTCTGCACAAAGGGGGGTCAGTGGTCCCTGCAAACCGTCCCCACTAAGGAGTCCCTTCCAGCCCCTGGGGGTGGGCAGGGCAGTGCTGAACACTCCCTCAAGTTTGAGGTAGTCAAAGATCCAATGAGATTCTGCCAATCTCCTGGCCATAATGTCTTTTTCTGGGTCAATAACATGATTTCTGATGGTCCCAGCAGAACCTAGTAGGTTCCATTTTTCAAGAGAACCCCACATCTCATCGATTTTTAAAGTATATTTTTTCTTATTCATTTTTATTGAAGTCTGGTTGGTTTACGATGTTCCTAACTCCTGTTGTACATAACCGTGATACAGTTGTTCATTTACCTATATTTCTTTTTTAAGAAAAGGATATTAAGTGACACTCCAATATTAAAGTTACGTTTGAATTTTTCCCTGTGCTGGGTATTCCTGGCTGTGGGGCTTTCTCTCCTGGCAGTGGGCGTCCTTCTCATTGTAATGCTCCTCTTGTTGCACACTTTGGGCTTTAGTCCCCTATTTAGGTCTAGAGTTACTTTATGCTCTAAGATCAAGGTCTCTTCCTTCCAGGTTGGTCCAAGAAACCCTCTCTCTCAGCCCAGGGGGGCCCCATGGAGAGCTCAGGAGAGAACGTGACCTTGCTCTGCAGCTCCAAGCACCCCTTTCACCAGTTCCATCTGATCAGGGAGGGAGAGAACCTTGGGCGCCTGCTCGCTGGAGGGCGGGGCCCCCACGGAGCACTCCAGGCTGAGTTCCCTCTGGGTCCTGGGACCCCAGCCCACAGCGGGGTCTACAGGTGCTACGGCTCCTTCAATCACTCTCCCTACGCGTGGTCAGACGCCAGCGACCCCCTGCTCCTGTCTGTCACAGGTGAGGGCCCTCCTCCTGGCCCAGCTTTCTTGTTGCTCTTCAGTCGCTAAGTTGTGTCCAACTCTTTGCAACCCCGTGGGCTGCAGCATGACAGACTCCTCTGTCCTTCACTATCACCCCTTCGTGGCTCACAGCCTTGTCCTGGTAAACGGGCTTGTATAACGCAGTGAAGCTATGAGCCATGTCGTGCAGGGCCGCCAAAGACAGATGGGTCATAGTGAAGAGTTTTGGCTAAACGTGGTCCCCTAGGAGGAAATGGCAACCCCCTGCAGAATTCTTGTTTCCAGAACCCCAAGAAGTGTCCCGTGCTTTACCATGCACTAAGTCAATTGTGTTGGCCAAAAAGTCCATTTGGCTTTTCCCATCACATCTTACTCTATCACTGAACTCTAGTTCAAGGGCTCCATGCTGGTGTCAGGGGACCTTAGGGCTTCTGGGAGAAATGGAGGCAATGAGAACCAGAGAGGAAGAGAGATGGTCGATGGCATCTCAACCCTGTTCCACCTCCTGTATGGATGGTTCTCATCAGAGTCCTGTCTATCCAGGCAAATAAAGAAAAGGGTCAGGATAGATCCAGGAGAAGGAGAGGCTGGGCTGATTTGGAAAGATCAGAGATTGCATTAGCCCCTTGCTCTTAATGTTTTCTGAGAGGCACCACTGACATACAGGTGATTTCCCAATTCAGGAGCATAGATACTCATTCCTGGAACAGAGAGAATGTCTCTTGCTTACAGATGTCTTTCCTCTCCAGTCATACCCTTCCTGCCTGGTTCCACCATCTCTTTGCTAGGATAGAGGGTCTACTCAACGCATTCATGGGGAGGGACCAGAAGCTCTATCCTCCCCCCCATCAGTGTTCAGGGGGATGACAGAGTCAAGGGCAGGCAGGAGGTCAACCTTCCAGAAAGAACAGTCCTCCTTTGGTGGGGTGAGGAAGGTTACTAGCTCACCCCTTCTGTCTTTTTTCTCCTAGGTTCCACTGCAAGTACTTGCACATCACCCATGGATCCAGGCAGCACAGAAGGTAAGCAAGAAGGTCTCCTATCTCAGCAAATTTCTGAGAAGACATAGGGGTCCAGTCTGAGTGTTGGCTCTTTCAGCTCCCAGGTCTGTGAAATTGTGCTTCTCAGCATCCTTCTCACGTAAGCATTTGAGACTGTGGTCTGCATGAGAACCAGAGGGGGCATTGAGATCCTGGGACTGGGAATTTCTAAATTGAAGAAAGTGGGTCAGAGTACCCTGATCCCATGCCTAAGGGACATGCTTACCCTCCCTCCACCGTGATCTTTGGGGATGGATTGGGGCGGCAAGTGAAGAATTATAGGGAGCACCTTAAATATGTTATTCTTCTGTTAGTGTTTTATGAACTAAGCATCCACAGTTCAGAAATGAAAGTGTCAATTCTTCTTGAGGATTCCATTCCAGGTATATGTGGATGAGGGGGAAATGTATTGTGGATAAAGGGGTCTCCATTCATGGAAAAGTACCATGCCTTGACTGGGGGAAGAGAAAAACTGCATTGGTGCCCAGTGGACCTTGGTTCAGACCTCAGCTGGTCTTGCAGGGCCTCTTTACTTCATTCACTGCTGGCATCTCTCCTGGATGCTTTGATACCTCCTGGTAAGTGGAGACCATAAGTGATCAGGTTGACAGATGCTGACAGTTCGATGCAAGGATACAATAAAACCAGTGTGTAGGGGCACAGTGTATGCAATGAAAAACCAGACCTTCCGTTTGCTTGTTGACAGAAGCAGGGCTTCCTCAAGAATGGTCCAGCACGCTGTTCATCGTCCTTGGGCTTGCCATAGTCTTCACCTCTACCAGCATCCTCCTCGCTGCTCTTGTCTGTCACTGGTGTTCTACCCAAAATTGTAAGTCTGAGGGTGGTGAGCTCAGCATCATCTGACCCAGGGGGAGGTGGGCTCATAGCAGAGAGTGGCGTTTTCTCTTCCCGTAGGTTAAAAACTCATTTCCAGTGTTGTTATCTCTGAGGGAGCATATTCTGGAGACCCATGGAACCGTGTTCTTTTTCTGTAAATATGTGTTGATTCTTGGCTGCATCAGGTCTTTGCAGCAGCATGGGGGATCCTCATTGCACTCTGGGGTGTGGTTCAGGCTCCAGAGCTCGTGCACTCAGCTGTGGCAGCATGTGGGGCTTAGTTTCGTCAAGACATGTGGGATCATAGATCTCCCACCAAGGATAGAACCCAGGCTGCCTGCACTGGAAGATGTACACTTAATCTCTGGACATCAGGGACATTGCAGCCCTGTTCTTCCCTTCAACTACAACCATCTGTTCTTCTCCCCTACATGATCTTGGGAATCTGCTGATGTGCAGAAGAGGATGGTCCATAACAGAAGACGTAGGATGGGTCTGTGGTTTGCACAGGTTCCTGAGACAGTCCGTGAATGGTTGGCCTTGTATATGGAATGTTTTGTTTTCATTTAATTTAGTGGAGTAGACAGACTCAGCAACCTGGGGCACACCCCTGCTGTTTTTCTGGCTTTGATGTCCCCATCAAAGTTATGGAGGTCTGGAATAACAGCCTCCATCCCCAAGATCCTTGACTCTCTTTCATTCGCAGATCTTGACATCATGGAAGGAGAGCCCCAGGAAGACCAAGCAGTGAGCAATGAAGTGAGTCCTCCCAGCCCAAACCCTTGCCATAGCATCGGCCCGTCCAATGTCCAATGTCCCAGTCTTCGAAGATCGCGTCTCAATCCATCATTCACACCTCCTTCCTCTCAGGACTCTCCAGCAGAAGACGTGATATATGCTCCCTTGGACCTCGGGACCCTCTCTGAGAGACTGAATACTCCCACTCCCCTGAGCCCATTGCACCCTTTCCCCGAGCCCAGTATCTATGAGGCATTCAATGTAAAGAAAGGCCATGCTGAGCCCTGACCTGGCCCCAGGCTGTGAGCACACAGAGTGCTACAAATCAAAGACTCAGATCTCTTTTTAAAGGGGCTTCTCCGTGGATACTCCTCCTCCTCCTCCAAAGCCGCCCAGCAGCTCTGAGGTGACCAGTGGAGTCCAAGATTGCAGGATCATCTTCAAAAATCCCACACCCTCTGAGTAATCTCCTGGCTCTTCCAGGGCTCCATTTTATCTATCTCACTTATTGGGGAGATGGTATAATCAACCACACATACTGGGTAGGTTAATATGATCATCTTACTTTTTCTAAAATTCCAATAAAGCATAAAAACTTTCCCAGTTGTTTCATCAAATTATTCTGTTTTAAAACAAACCCAAAACCAATAAACAAAATGTCTATTCAATAATGTTTTTCAAGGATGAACATTTTTACAAGACACAAACACACTTGTAGACTTAGAGAACAATCTTAGAGTTACGGAGGGGAAGGGTGAGGGGAGAGATAGATTGGAAGTTTAAGATTGACATGTGCACACTGCTATATTTAAAATAAATGCTTTCCATGAAAAATAATAAAAGCAATGCTAAATGGACAAATAAAAACATGAAGTATACTGTGTTTGAGATATCCAGTGTGGTGCCACTAGCCATATGAGGCTGCGTGTGTGCGTGCTAAGGCAATTCAGTCATAACTGACTCATTGCAACCCCATTGGTAGTGTGTAGTTCGCTTGGCTCCTCTGTGCATGGGATTCTCCAGGCAAGAACCCTGGAGTCGGTTGCCATTCCATTT